AACAAAGGAAGTTTTTACTCCTTCCCCTCACACAAGGGTCAGCCAATGACATGAAGAGGCAGCAGGTTTAAAGCAAACCCAGGGACGGTTTTCTTCACATAACTGTGGAACTCCTCGCGGCTGTGGTGAGCCCTGTTGGCCCTCAAAGGAGCTGAAGTTCCTGGAGATTGGGCCCACCAGAGAGTGTTAGCCAGGCTGGGCGGGGAGGGTGCCCTGGGGCTGGGCGACGGGCTGCTGGCACTGGCCGTGGTGGGCAGACAGACAGGGGGCTGGGCGGGCCTTGGCCTGACCCTGGGGGGCCATTTGTATGCGCAAGGCAGCTCTGCTAGCGCCACGCCCCGGAGCGCGCAGGGCTCGCTGTGACGGGCATGGGCACCGGCCAATAACGGGCCCTGTGATGGGAGGGGTTAACCAGGCTGGCTGGGCTGAGAAGGGCCCTGCCCCAAGGCCCTGCTGGGCATGCTCCAGCCCCAGGGCTGTATAAAGGCCGGTGGAGCAGCTGCCAGGGCTGGCCACAGAAGGGGAAGGGAACCCAGGCCCAGGCGGGGCCGGGGGCAGGAGGCAGCCGGGAGCGCTCAGCGGGGGCGGGGGAAACCCAGCCACTGCTGCTAGGGCCTGGGCTGGGGCCCGGGGGAGAGGGAGGGCCTGGCCCCCAGTCAAGGGGCCGTATAGAGCTGGCCATTGGGCCGTATTTACCCCCGACTGGGGGAGTTTCAGACTCGCCCGCTGGGCCAGATTTCCCCCTGGGGGGCGTGTGACCCACGCCAGGCCGGTGTTCAGGGGATGTGGCCCTGGAGGTCTCATCACACAACACAAGGTCTCCTTGACACCTTTAATTCCCGGCAGCCCAGGCCCTGCTGCAGGCCTGGCCTGTGGAGGCTCACGCCCTGCACCGCGGCACGGAAGGGCCAAGGTGCCCTGGCCACGGAGGCTGGGGGCAGAATGGGGCTGGGGGGTGCAGGCCGCAACTCGCGCCCAGAACGCCACTCGCTCCTGTAAGTCCCTGCTCCCCCCAGGCCAGCGCCCGGCAGG